TGTGACGAATGTACTACGTCCAAGAGCTCTTGCAAAAACACTCACCAAAGTGCTGTTTGTACAGGAAACACACCTAAAATCCTCCAATACAACTTTTCTACGTGTTTACGTCATATTCCGAAAGGACCGAGATGATGCTGTAGCGTCATCCGGTGGCGTGGTCATTATGGTTAATCAAGGAGTAGCGTGTACACATTTACCACTCCAGACATCCCTTAAGGCGGTGGCTGTCCGAGCAGTACTTCCAAGCAAACTCATCACCGTCTGCGTCTGCTCTGTGTACATACCTTCGCACCACCGTCTTGAAAGACGTGACAACGAGTCTTTAATAGACGAACTTCCAGAGCCTTATCTGCTCCTTGGGGACCTACATGCACCTAGCGGTCAGTGAGGTCGATCTCACTGTGATGCACGAGGTCATCTCATTGAACAGCTTCTCTTCTCTTTCGTTGCCTGTCTGTTGAATAGGAAAGAGCCAACATACTATAACGTCACCAACAAAACTTACTCGTCTATAGACCTCAGCATGATATCTCCTTCACTTCTACCTCTACTGAAATAGAAAACCATGAATAACATATAGAAGTGACAATTTTCCTGTAGTGTTGGGTTCACCAACAATATATCAATGTCCTCCGCATGTTCCTAAGTGGCTAATAAACAAAGCAGACTGGGGACAGTTTCACAACACTACTCGTTTAAATTGGACTAACATATGTAGGTTAAACATAGATGAAGCTGTGCAGTACTTCACAACTTTTCTTACTGACGCAGCAGCCAAGTGCATACCGCAAACATCTGGAATACCTGGCAAGTGACGTGTCCCATGGTGGAACACTCAGTGTCGGAATGTGCGGAAGGAGCAGAACAGGCCATGGAGGTTGCTTCGGAACTCACCGAAAGCCGACAATCTTGACAGCTTTAAAAAATTATGTCTCAAGACAGGAGAACGCGTAGGCAGGCCAGAAGAGAAAGCTGGCAGAAGTTCTTATCAGAGATGAATTCTTATACACAGGAGGCTAAAGTCTGGAACATGGTTGCTAGAATAGCAGGAAGACAAGTACACTCACTTCTACTCGTAAACACACATGGTCACAGCTTCGAAGATCAGGCGAACTTCCTGGGCGCACACTTTGAACAAGTGTCCAGCTCTTCACACTATACTGATGCTTTCCAAAAATACAAAACAAGAATAGAAAAGCGGAAAATACAACACAAATCTACAAAATACGAGGCATACAACCAAGCAAGTTGGCAGGTGATTTACAACCCTTCGCATACCACCTTAAGGCATCAAGTTTGTCAGAAGGAGATCCTCCCTATGAATGAAAGAATGTGTAAATATAAGGGCTCGTTTTCTTTCTTAAACACATAACTAGCAGAGAATAATGCCAGAGATATGAAACGTTATTAGAAGTAGTTGTAATGTAAATGTGAAGAAAAGTTGAAGAAAAGATTACTTGCCCAAGTAGGGCCCGAACATGTGGCCTTCGAATAACGCGTTCGATGTTGTATCACAATTATGGTGGTGGGGATCTCCCCGTACACATTGTAAGGTATGCGTGTGCATGTAAACGTGGGAACGTCAGTGAGTGCCACCTTTTGCCATTATGGCGAGTGGGAAACACTCCTTTTCTGTCTGTTTGGCGTCACGTGCCTGTTAGCGGCCACCGCAGCTTAGTGGTAGTGTATCGCATGAGTTATTCGAAGGTCGCAGGTTCGGTCCGTTTGTCAGGTTTTCTTTCTTCACATTTACATTACGTGTACTTCTAATGACGTCCCCTATACTTTTCCTGGCATTATTGTCTGTTAGTTCTCGTTAACAATATATCGCAAATAGATGTTTGATAAGTGTTTATTGACCTTTTTAATAATAATAATATTAATAATAATAATAATATAATAATAATAATAATAATAATAATAATATAATAATAATAATAATAATAATAATAATAATAATAATAATAATAATAATAATAATAATAATAATAATAATAATAATAATGTATTATTATTATTATTATTATTATTATTATTATTATTATTAATATTATTATTATTATTATTAGGTTTACTGACACGCTTCGCCGGCTATGTTCATCAGTTGGACAAACCGCTGGACTATATTTAGCTCCTTTTCTTGTATACCACGAGAAAACAATAAAATTGTACAAACCGAATTTTCCGGAAATCTGTTTTCGCATATTTCAGGGAGCTTTTTTCATTTCTGAATAAAACAACACTATTATTTGAATTCAATATGATTTTAACACGGCAGTGTTTTTTGCCGGGGTTCACCACGGTTCCGCTGGCGAAGTTCCGTCACGGATATCACGTTGTGGGATATATACTAACAGATTGCAATGAAAAAAAAAACGAGAAGGAAAGGTTTCGTTGTGGGGCCTTGAACCGCCAACCTCACGTTTCACAGAGCGCGGCGCTAATCACTAATCCTCGGAGCGTACGTTGACAAGCTTGCTAACGGCAAGCCATTTATACTGTATACACCATACATTGTTTGGCAGTCCTATAGCTCTGTAACTTCAGCGCATTTTCATTATCAGTAGCGAGTGCGACGTGCTCACGTTGGACGCGCTCTCAAGTTTGTTGCCTCTCGCGTTTCGTTAAGATCCGCCTAAACGAAGTGTGGTCTCTCCTGCGCGCGCGCTTATCCTACTCGTGACTCAGGAAAACACAAATGTCACCTCACTTGCTGCCACGGCCGCGTTTGAAAAAGGAGCACGCTTCTCACACATGAAGAAGTAAAAATTGTGACAGTTGTTTGCACTTGTCCTTTGTGTACTTGTAAGTTTGTTTCATAGGCCTTTCTTTCTGTTTAAACAGCGTGCTTTAAGTGTCGAGCAGTGACTTCACCGCATGGTGATATAATAAGAAACGACAATGCATTGAAAGGCGAGGCAGAGGAGAAAGAATAACTTCCATTTTCAGAAATTAGAGTGGGAATGGGGAAGCCGGGTAGGACGGAGGCTTGATTGCAGCCCCCCTCCCCTCGGGGGAGAGGGGCCACAATTGGCACAACGTAGGCAAGTGTGACCACCTAGCATCAAAAAAGACAACTATCATGAATATAACCATCATTGGTTTCATTTGGTAGAAATTTTTGTTGCTGTCAGTTTAGTCGTCATCGGCCATAATGGTACAAAGTCGTGTCGACTATACTCGTCAACGGAAAGGAAAGGGTTAGCTTTGCATAGCTGATGTGGGACGTTAGCACCGCAAAGGAGCGCTCGCAGACACAAGAGAAAACTAAGGGAAATACGACGATTTATTCAGCCATTTTTTTTCTCGTGGTGGGTACAGTGTTTCAGAGCTTTGCCATGCGCTCACGCCTTGCAGACATGGGCGTCGGCGAAAGGGGTACGTGCTTGGCCTCCTCAAGCAACGTCAGCATTTGCCCTCACCCAAGCTACAACCAGTGCTCTCCCTCTACCCTAGCCATGATGCAACGCCTGTTTACATTTCTCGAGACAAAATCCAGCCGACATTCATGTAGCTCATGTACTTGTTCGCATTGTTGGTTGTGTTTGCATAGTTGTTGACATTGCCTTTCCCGAGATAACTCGGGACGCTTTACGGACGACGCAGTCTCCATTCGCCGTGGACACAGAAGAAATGGCCATCAATTACGGCAGCCTGGGACGCATCATCGGCCACGAGCTGTCTCACGCGTTCCAGATGAGCACCTCATCCCTGGACAATCACGTGCAGCCGCTCACGCTGTACAGCCCGGCTTCGCGCAAGGAGTTCCTCGCCCGCCTCAACTGTCTTGCCAAACAGGTGGGAGTGAACCACCACTGCTTCTAAATCTTTTGAAGTTTTTCGGATTCCCTACAAACGAGTATTGTGATGTTATGTATATCTCGGGTGTACGAACTAAAATAATAATAGGTAATAATTGTAGCGGTTTAACATACCTAAACCTAGGAACAAATAGCCATATAGTCCGTTCCGCACATAGAAGTCAGCGCTGAGGAGGTGATGCATAATGGTCGGCTCGTCAAATGTAGAACTGCACCTGTCCTATAGCCGTGTTTCGTCGGTGTAAGTGCTCGTTCAAGCAGAGCGAGGACACACGCGGGCAGCGTCGCGACGCTTCTAATGAAATACAAAGAACGCAAGACAACAAAAAGTTAACAAATGTGCATAAAGTAACACATTCACAACCATGCAATGAAGTTGTTAACCTATAAACAAGAAAAACTTATCATTATCTAATGAGCATACTGCCAAAAAGAAACACATTCAGGGTACGACACAAGACTGCATGAACTACCATCTGGTGCCAACATGAGGAAGAAGTTTTGCTAGCCTTCACAGCGTTGACTGCTATGTGTGTGACAAAGTTAATATTATATGCCGATTTTTTGATGCTAAAACTGATTGACCTGAAGTTTTGTTTTTTGGTGTTTTTTTTTCTTTTGGGGCATATTTATTGCACACACTTACGCATACACTACAATCAGTTTAAAGCTTTAGTAAAAGTCTACATAATAATGATAATCAACCAATCAATAAATCATTTTTCACGTGCCCAGGAACAACCATGAGGTTTGTGCGCAGGCGCACACTAGAATAAAACAAAAAAAATTAAACAATACAATACAGAAAGTCTTCAGAAAAAGCAATCAAATAAAGAGAGCGAAAACGCACTGACAAAAAGAAATCAACGTAAAGTGGGAAGAATAAAAAGACAGGAGACTCATAAACTGTGAGTAAAAATAATGTGAAATATACACAACTATGCGCAAGGCTTTCTCAAAAGACAGAGAAGGGACGTATCTGTACATAGTGGAAAGCCATGTTATGGCAGTGCAAAGCTCATGTAAAAACAATGACTGTGGACTATAACAAACATGAAGATGACTAAAGTTAATATCATAGAGACAATTTATTCTATGAATGGTATACAGTGTTAGAAGAAGCTGATAGGTACATAAAATGGTCGATTCTCACTGGTTAAATTAGGCAGATTTTGAAAATTAAAACAACTGAGTAGAAAATGGCAGGAGATCTTACCGCGAACTAGCTTATAACGAAGTAACAGGTCAGCAAAATTTTGTCGGCAATAAAGTGATGGCAATCATAATTATATAGCCGTATAAGAACGAGATCCAGAGTCATTTCTAGTGAAACGATGGTTGTAGATGCTGACGAATTTTTCTGGACTCGCTAAATGGCGTCGCTGCTGGGTTTAGTTATCCCGTTCCAGATCACAGATGCATGCTCAAGTTGAGAAATGCATATTGCGGCGTGCAATTTGTGGAAGCCTGCAGAAAAATTGAAGTATCGAGAGATTCTGCAAACACAGCCAAAATAACGAAGGCCTCACATGGCAGCACGTTTAGTGTGAACCCCCCAAAATTAGAATGCTATTAAAAAAAACACCAAAATTACTAATGTTATAAGCCTTACATAACGAAACAATATTGACAGAGTATGGAAATGACATGATGGGTGTTTTGCGATATAGAGTTATAAACTTGGTCTTTAAGGTATTGAGGGAAAGGTTATTGGTTTTACACCATTCGGAGAAAGAACGGAAATCTAAGTGCAGCAAGTGACAGGGGTTCACTCAATAAATTTTCTTCAATATTTTGATGTCGTGGCATACAAGAGAAAAAAAGAATAATGAATTGCAAAAGAAACATTGTTAACGTAAATTAAAAATAACAGGGGTCCTGATTCTGACCCTTGAGGGACCCCGCAAGTCACTTTGTACAGAGAAGACATTTGATTATTTACGGCAACATAAGATGATCTATTAAGCAGAGAGCTATGCACGAGAATCACTAGACGAGTACACATCAAAGCATGCAAGTTCAACCAGAAACAGTGAGTGAATAATTACGTCAGCAAGGTCACAGTATACCTGGCCTCCCTGAGAACAGCCACTATGAAAATAAAATTGAGCAATTTTGAACGACAGGAAGAGTAAACTGAATACATATGAGACATTCTTGCACGTTTTTCGCATCCCCTTTGCATTATTGTTACAACGCGCATACGTTATATGAAGGCTAGTTTTATATTATTACTTCATATGAATAAGGTCAATATACAGAAGGATGGATCGCTATGCTAGTAAAAAACTATTATCGGGTACTAATTTATGTGTCTGTGGCATTTCCTACTCAAAGGCACATTCACACAAGCCTGCACAAATAGTCGTTGACTTCGGACTGACTTCACATAAGCGGTCACAGAGAAAATTGCCTTCTGCGCTTTGGCCATTTGGGAACATCTTCTCCGGACCTTTTACGTTCTACCTGACTGCACCGCTTCTTTATTTATGCAATGTTACTTGTTTATGGGTGTTAAGTTGTTATTACTGATTTAAAAGCATACTGCAACAAAATTTCGCCTCGGAAAAATTCACTCGGAATGCGTTGATATTGTGTATGTGATGGTAATCACAGTGAAAAATGTTGCAGTCACGAACCTCATTTATAACCGGTGCTCTGGCAGTCATCTAGAAAATGAAGCGGACCCCTAGCGGTGAGCCCGGCCAAATTCACCTAAAACAGGTTAAGGCCTGCGCACTCCCTCCGTGACGTCACGTGCGTTGCCTCAGTGGGCCACACCTCGCGAAAAAGTTTGCTAGCCATCCAGGCTCTAGTCACTTCTATGCGCTAGACGCGTGTGGGGTTGCCTCACACAAGTCGCAGTTCTACTTATCAATACGTACTTTTCGCTCAAATGTTCTGATGAAACCTCGAGGGCAAGGTATGTCAAACTAAGACATGCTAAAAGCTTTGATTATTGTGCCCGAAGGCCTTGTGTTAGAAGCGTATCAGAATATGGTATGGCGTCTTTTGATTTCCTTGATTACCTAAAAGAAAATAAACTGTGAATAAATATATTTCATGCAGAATACCTTATTTATTCACTCTGAGACATTTTTCCTCGCCGTCAAAGGTTGTGTACCACATGGATGTGTACCACAGTTTTTTGCGCAGAAAGCAACAAATTTATCATGAACGCGCGTGCTGTTTTTGCTGCTTCAGAGGAGTTTGATGCCGCTCGTGTAATGACCTACCCCTATACTCAAAATATTGATTCCTGTGGATTTCATCTAACATCAGAGCTGCGATGCGTTCATGTGGCTTTAACAGGCTCACCTTTTTTGTAATGTGCTGCTAGAAGCCTTCATTACTTTCTTCGTTTGCAGGACTTACACTGTATTTGCTGCACAGCCTTGATGTCGTGGAAGGATGAGGTAACATTGATTTACCAGTGTTGCGAACAAACTGGTATGCACGCGAAGATATCACGTGAAAAATTCTTGCTAGAAAAAAGATTAGAAAAATATCTCCCAACTCCTCGTTTTTTGAGTACAAGGCGAAACTGTTCCTTCAAAAACTAGAGCGCTTCTAATTTCTCTTCAGACAGCAGGTCACCATTAGACAGGTCCTCAATATCAGAAAAAAAAAACATAATGTGGACGGAGGCTTTTAACTTTACTTCTTTCTCAGCGACATCTGGAGCAATGAAATGCTCCCCACTTTCAAGAATAGTCTACAAGCTCCACATGACACCCTGTTTTTCTGGAATGAGAACATTAGCAATATACAGCTTGATTTATTTCCAGTAGGCAGAAATGTGCAATGCATCCAAAACAACCACACAACGTTCAACCTCGGGAGGCAGTGTGTTGCTCTGAATATGCAGAAACTTAACAGCAGCTTCCATGCTGTTGTTTATCTAATAGTCGGACTACTCAAATTCTGAGAGTCGTGACACGAGCTGCTCAAAAGGTGCGAACTTATTTTTTTTACGTTCCTGCTCTTTGTGCGACAAAAGCGACATCTTAATAACCTTTTGTAGCTGAGCTGCCTCACGGCGCATCCATTTTTCAATGCTTATCGTGAACCGGAGCACAGTCGATCAGATAGTTATGCATGCGAGGCTGTTCGGCCACATCGTCGGCACTGCAGCTTCGGTTAGTCAAGTAAGGCTCATGGGAACTTCTATAGTCTTTCCGTTGCTATCCGTGTAAGTGGTGGTAGTCCTCAAATACCCTGCTTTGAAATGAAGCTCAAAGACCTGCGATATGCCAAGAAGAAATTATGTTTGAAAATATTTTAGCAACATTTTAGATATTTTTCTTCAGCCTGTATTATATTCTAAGCGTTATAAGGAAAGATAGAGATCTACATTGACGCTACTCCATAAATCACTGCCCTAACACTGGTCTGCGCCACATAATTCTCCTTATGTGAAGGTTTACTGGTACAAATTTCATTGCGACAGCAATTATATGGACACTCTCAGTTGGATTTCGCCGCCGGCATCAGCGTCGACGTCGGCGTCGATGTCACGCATCGTATATGTATACGTATCTATATATATGAAAACGCAAGAAAAAAAAACATCCCACAAAAAAAGACTCCGGTGCACAGAATTGAACGTGGGACCTCCGCGTTGTGTATGCGAGGTGTTAACCACTGAGCCAACGAGAGGTCCCTTCTTCAACGTACAAACGACAAGCTATTCTCATCTACCACTTACCGCTGTTGGTGAGCATCTTGAGGGAGGGGGGGGAACTATCGTGTTTTAGCATTATCAGGAAGATGGCGCAGTGAGCGCACGGTGGCTCTCATCCCGCATAGAGATAAAGGGGCTGTACGCTTAATAGCACGCCCTTATCTTTCAGTGCGGAAAATCGCACGTCTTGGCTAGCCTTTGGGTTTCGTCGGAACAATTCTCTTGTAGTTACCGAATGCACAAAGGTCTCTCCAATCGTTGCATAGCCTCTGTTTGCAAAAAAGGTGCGCTTTTCTGGCACAGCTAAGTAACAACTGAGATGGTTAATCCCGTATATCTGCACCCGTGAGTACGTTTTGTGCGTCATTTGTGCGTGAGAAACGCAGGGCAGGTTTCGATCTGCTTGCCATTCTGCACACGACCTTCAAATTTGTTGCTATTGCATTCGTTGCGCCGCCTTTGCGGAAAAGCTATGACTTTTTTTTACATTCATGCCTTCAGATCACGGAGAGTGTCGATATCGACGTCTTCCCGCACAGCGCGTTTCCATTTTATCCTGCAGTCGTCATAAGAGAAAAAGAATAAGTGGGTCCTCGGTCCACCATCACAATTTTCACAATAGTTTGGCACTCAGCAGCGGCCCATCATTCCTGGTAATTTCATGTCACCAAACGTCTCTCCAAATAACACTGACGAGATCAAGACTTTCACAAATCTACGAAGCGCGTCCGGTCACCAAATTTCCAAATTCTTTTGCAGCGTAGCAACGCTTTGCCAGGCCCAAACAACTTCTAACATGACCGTACATTTCCCAACCGGCTGTCAGCATGCCCGCCAGTTCGTTGAGCTACGTGTGGTGACGTCAGACAAGGAACGGAGGGAGTGAAGAGGCCTTGAAAAATTCGAAGAGGTGCTGACCGGACCAAATCGGGCCCAAAGTGAAATGACGTAAGCCGCTGCTCACCATCGCTCTTGTGCAGATCTCCCTGTAGGCGCATCCCTTTCTTTTCTGTGAGACACCCGTATTGACGACTTATTCGGAAGAGATAATAACTCCTTTGCAGGACGAAACACCGCGTCGTAGGCTGCTGGAACACTTATGCTAGGGACGGGAGCACCTTTCACGCTTTTGCAAAAAACGTTAAGTTCCAATAGCTGCGGGTTATTTCGGTGAGGCGAAAGGAAGGGGGGGGGGGGTACACCAAAGAACGTGGTAGTTTACACGGCGCATACACGGCGCACTTCAAAGATGACGACTTTCTGCAAAGGCGGGCGCACGGGGGCAGAGGGGGAGAGTTCAGAGGTAGCACTAGATCAGCCCATGGCTGGTCTGGAGGAGTGTGCTTGTTCCCTTCTTTTACGGCCCGAGCCGCCGCCATGAGTACAGTGGAGCTGCTTCTACACAGTGATGACGGCGCTCTCCACGTGAGGACGTCGCGAGCCAACTTTTCATAACTTTAACTCTTCAAAGTGCGTTTCGCCACATGTTTTATATTAGAAAGCAGCTGCTTCCGTACACTTTCTCGTGCTTTATATTTCTTCCACTTGTAGGGAGCGGTGAGAGTAGTATAGGACCATGTGGGACAGCCTGGCTTTCTCGGCACTCATGCACTCGTCAGTGAAGACTCACAGGCAATGCCATCAGAATCCTTATTTTTTAAAGGCTCGAAGAGCTTACATTCGATGAACTCAAAAATGTTTGAGGTTTGAGTGGTTAGATTTACTATTCAGGTGCCCGTTAAAGAACCCCAGGTGGCTGAAATTTCTGGAGCGCCCACTGGTGTCCACCATAATCATATTGTCGATTGTCGACATCACGGTATGCCACAGACAGAGCAGTGAACGGAGATGGCACGTTGGCATGAAGAAACATGCGCGAAAACTTACATATTTAAGTGGCACCATGACAAAATCTTGACAGATTGCCAGCGTCTTACGCAGTAATTCAAAACCTTTTTGGTTGACAGTGGTACAAACGGCATGCTGATGCGTATGTAACCGAGTGCGTTCTTTTGCCTAGTTTCTACAGTGAGACGTGTCACTCACTCCTGTGGCTGCTCATATGTTCGTTTTGTCTGTGTGGCTCATAGTTAATAAAGGATTTTGCCCTGTAATATTTTCTGTAGTGTATCGTTCACGGAAGCTACACTTCCAAGTATTCCAAGTTGTCATTCCACTTCTCGGAGTTCCAAACATCTCAAAAAACTAGATTTTTTTATAACTTTCTCTATGCTTTACCGAGCAGCAAAAGCGGGTGCGTCAATGGTTTATATTTCCTCTTTGTCTCCGCCGTGCATTATTAAATATTGAGATAGTTCTCATGCGTTTTCCTGTGCACCTTTTTTTTCTGTACTTTAGTGACTGCCTTAAGACTATGGGTACCTCCTACTTCATACTATTTTTAGCTAGTTTTTGAATTTTCAACGAATATTATTATTATATTATTATTATTATTATTATTAATATTATTATTATTATTTTTATTTTTATTATTCCTGATATTTTGAGTGCGAAAAACAGGGGTCGACCCATGATGCACTGACTTTCCACTTTCTGATGCTTTTATTTCAACATTAAAGCACGAACTAAAAAAGTTCTTTGAACACAAAAAGTGCTAATTAATTATTTCGAGATGCTGTGAAGGCGGGCATACGTGTTTGAAATTGAAGGTGGGAATATTTGAAAGCGGGCATACGTGTTTGTTTCTAAACCATTTTTCTACCAAAAAGTAAGTTAGTCGTATTTTTTTTTTTTTTTTGACGATCGGTGATCATGCAGTCAAGCCTGCTAAGTGAAACACACAATCGCACATGCGCACGCCGAGGTCTTTATGTACGACCGGTGCCTCTTCAGCCAAATAATGTTAAACTGAAAGAAATGTCGAATTCTTACGCAGTGCCTTCAATAATCAGCCACTGCAAACCTAACAACGTGAAGTCCCAACCTGCATTTGGAGAAGCGGCGGTGTCAAGAGATATTCGTATGGGACAGCTTTAGTGCAGCGCAAAATGCTTGAGTTAGCGTGACGCTATAATATCACATGAAGCTATTCAAATCACATTTAGAATAACCTAAATCCGGTAAAATAACGCTCCGCGAAGCGCTGAACTCGATGCGTCATCTACGCGCGAGTAATGAAAGCTCCAAAAGCGGCTTGCTTCCAGTTGCGAGTAGTAAAAGCAGCAACGTTTGACAGAAATGCTGCCGTGCTCATTAAAAAATTGAAGCACGTATACGTACTTTAAGGAAAATAATTGTGCTATGCTAGGTTTAATGTTTCAGGTGCAGTCAGACTGTAGTGTTCACAGAAATGCAGGCACGTTTTATAAGCATCGGAGTGTGCCAAACCGAACATCGATATTGAAAACAAAGCTGTCTTACCGTCCTGGCATAGTCTGTCAACGAAGCTAGAATGGGCAACGTCTAAACCAGCTGCATAATTTATAGTGAGCCAGCAAGTTTTTGAAGACAGCAGGACGAAACGATAGTTGCGAAGCGGGCAGTAGTTGCTTAGAGAGAAACGTTTTATGGGCATGCATTCGAGTTTCCTTCACGGTGACGTTTACATACTGCGAGGTCCATTAAAAACCAATGCTCATGGTTTTATTGTGGCGCGACTATTTGTGGCAGCGTGGTAAACAGATGGGGCGACGGGGGGGGGGGGGGCTACTTTTCACACGCAGATGGTCGTCAGTCAGTTTATTACAAGCAATGTGAAGGAAAACATGTACCTCCACTGAAAACGTTGTTTGAAACTTTGTAATATGGCGCACTGTAATATGGCGCACTCTTTAACAGCAGTACGCTATCAAGTTTTGCTTTGCTTAAAGCTTAGAAAAAACACCACCAAAACATCGTAGATGCGTCAAGAGGTATTCAAGGATTACTGCATTTCAATGTCACCGTCCAGTAAGTATAGCACAAGGCGGTTCAGGAGGGCTAGGAAGAGAGCTGGGAGGAGGTCACTGACGAACCAAATTCTGGACACTTGAAACGAATTAAATGTGGATAATGTGCCTGTGGTAGTGCATTTCGACCGTCGATTTAGCATCCAGGAAATGAAGTTACTACAGCAGGGAGTAAATGTCAACGCTGAATATTGCTGGAGGTGCTCAAGAGATTGGAAACGAGCCACGTGCTTTTGGCTTGACATCAACACAGTCAATCTCCACTATAAAAATGCCCCCAGCCATATCTCCTTCATTGGTACGGAGTTCCGGACCCAGAGCGACTCCCTGGTAGTCCTCTTCCCCTCACTCCTGACTTGGCTCTATGCGTTATTTTTCTTTTTCTCCTAATAAAGAGAACGGCTGAAGCAAAGCATTTGGGCATCGGAAAAAACACCAAAAAGCATGTTACAATGTTCCTGAGAGACACTCTTATTGAGAACTTTCATGGTACCTTCCAGGAATGGCAGATACATCTCTCCAAGTCTATTCGTGCAAGGAGAAAGAATCTTCAAGAACTTCAACTATTTGTGCAGGCCCCATACATAACTCTGTTTTTTCCTCTAAAACTCGCATCACTAGTAGAATGAAATATGTAGTTTGGTTGTTTTGATACCAACTAAAAAGAAAACTCTGTGGTGTGGTCCCAAAAAGAATGCTTCGGAACACAGGGCAGACAATCTACCTGCATCAGCCAGGCTGTGGCCTACGTCACTTCTGGTCTGCTGTGATGGCGTTGTTTTTTTCTAGTTTGAGTATAATAAATTGCCTTTTTGGCATGTTTTTCCCTTAGGTAACCAGTTGGGCATTTCGAAGGGGAAATCTTGCAGCTTAGGGCGTTATCTCTAGCTACACTGCCTATAAATTGGCATTTTGAGGTGTAAAAAACATTGGTACAGTTTAACAAATAACGTTTCGTTAAGACGCCCTGTACATGTGGTTTTTGTGGCAGGTCAACGATGGTTCAGGCAGTCAAACCTTGGGCAACAATTCCATTTCGGAGGCATTCGCCGACAACGCCGGTCTCGAGAAGTCTTACCTGGCCTTCAAGGGGCTGACACAATCCGATCCACTGATCTACAGCAAGCCGATCAACCCCCTGGGTTACACGGCGCAGCAGATGTTCTTCGTCAGCAGCTGCTTCGTGTTCTGTGCCTTTCAGGGCTACGCGTTTGAGCGGAACAGCGTGTACCCGCCGCCGTTCCTGCGCTGCAATACACCCGCGATGAACAGCCGCGATTTCGGGTCCGCCTTCAACTGCGCCCAGGGCGCGCCCATGAACCCGCTCGTCAGATGCAACTTCCACTGATTTTGACGTTTATTCAGCGTACTGCTTAATAAAGCTGATTTCAGTGGCGGATTGAGTATGTACGCACGTTCTGTCATGGCAAGTCCACTTCATCGTATACTCTTAGGACACAAGGGCTCTTAAGTAAATGCTTGATGTCGCATCCTCACGAAGGTCGCTGGGTGCTTCAAGATTTCAGGATCAGTTTAATACGTCAGAGTGACCAGATTTTTCTAACGTTTCTTTAGTGCTGTGTATCATCTGGTTATTCGCCATATACACTCTTGACCCACCACGATATTCAATGGTTATGGTGCTCAAATCCCGGCCGCGACCGCCGCACTCTGATGTAAAACAATGCTTTAAGGCACGTGCGCTTACATTTAGGGACACTTTAAAAAAAGCCCAAGTGGTTTTAAATTGTCGGAGCTCTTTAATTCTGCTTATCTCATAATCGCATCGTAGCTTTAGAACGTACCCCCCCCCCCCCCCGTCATTTTTATGTACTCTTATGCGATTACTTTTCCAACTTGCTTACGTGCTGTGAAGCGCCTAGTTGACGCGCCCGTGAGGTTATTGCGTAGGCGTTGCTATGACGAGCAACTGTGTGAAACCTAGAAACCTCTGCTACATTTCGATACGTACAAAGTTCAAGGGCACTCATGTATACAACGCATAGAGCGTATTCGTTAAATAATCACCGAACATCATAACCACAGGTGGTTTAAACTACGACGTAAGGCTTTAATGATATAGGTTTGGTACGTAAACCTTCATATGAGGATGTTCAAAGTTATACATTAGCGCAGTTAAAAACGCCAGGCCTGCGCTGAAAGTGCAGCACAGTCACAGTAAAAGCTGGAAGAGCAGCATTTGTATATAACTTGTTTTTAACTATCTAGGGCCAAGTAATAAAGTATAGGCTTGCAGGGTACCCACTCTATTATAAATGATAATTTTCGTCAAGTTTGGAACCACTCTTCAGCCATTATTCTTAATTCTACGCATATGTTAGACATTACGTGCACTTTCTTCATGTGATGGCTGATGAGTGAATTATGGCTGAGCACATTCTAAAAGTTTGGAAACATTAAATGACCCCCTAGTTAAGCAATTCGTATTGTGTGATGACATGGTTGCACAATTCGCACGGTGTGACACCCGGTTGTTATTTTACTATTTTACTACCAACATGGTTCTTTCCTGACATAATGCCTGTTAGATTTTTTTTTTATGGAGGAGTTTCAACCCACTGTATGATGTGTAAGTAAAAGTGAGAAAAAGAACCGTCATGGCTATTTGGTAGAATAGCAGGATACCATGAAGAAGACCCAGGTTCGAGCCTCGTTCTATCCTCAACATTTCGTTTTTTTCTTATGTCATGCAATACGGTTACGAACATTAGTGGTGGGGGTGGACTACTACGGAACTAAAGATGACATTTGTTGGGATCTCATGACAGTTTTCACTGTAAAAGGTGCAATAAACTCTGTTCACACATGTAGATGTATCGTCTTTCGCCGTGAAGCATAAGAAACTCCTCAGACTCTATGAAAATGAGCCCAAAAATTCATTTACCTATAGCTTATCTAGACGGCAGACACCATCGCATTAAACTTTTATTGTTTGTCGATGTTTTAAGCATAGATAGTCGAATACAGCTTAGGAAATCCGCAGAGGCTCCTCCCAGATGACTGAAGCTTGGAAGCCGATCGCTTCCACTACGAAAAAGTAGTGCCACTCATGCACATGTCAATGTACTACGATGGCGGGGTCACCAACCGTACGGCTCATGACATCATTCGGAAGTGCTCACCCATTGGTGCAGGCATGAAGGAAGGAAAGCTAAGGAGAGGCCCTCGCGATGGGATCAGCAAAGCGAAAAGTGGTGGAAGTCACGTGGTTTTCTAGGGGGGTTATGGGTATTGTTGGGCACGTCGGCGTCTCGTGTCATCTGGATCACCACTCGTATGACCACGTTCTTGATAGCCGGCTGTAGTTCTGAATGTGCATTTTTATTCAGCTGTTGCACTTCAAAGATGATGCAATGTGCCAGAAGCCTACAATGAGCGTTGGTAATGACGGCTTCGAGTTTAGTTTGTATCGCTTGAAGTCAGAAGCGGTCCTTTCCGAAGCTCGCGACCACTTCTCTGAAAATGGTTGGCGCCGCAGATTCGTTGTTATCCTTCGGTACTGTGCTGTTGCGTGCTTCAGCGAAGGCAGCCTGGAATTCCTAGACGAGAACAGCAGCGTCTATGGCTCTTAATGCGAGAGGCGGCGGTGGGCCGTTATCATGTATATGACGGTCACAACTATCGGAAAGCAGTACGTGGCCCACTGTTCTCACCGATGCTTACCGAGTCAAGAATTTGACGTACCGGACACAGTAAGATGATTTGTTTGAATTATTAGGGAGTTTTGGAACACCGTTTGCAAGCGCTGCGGGTATAGCAGGCGCCATGCTAGTTTTAGAATAGCGTTTGCGCTGCTGCGAACCACAACGCACGATCGCAGCGACACCGTAGCCTCGAAACCAGCGCTTGCGGGCCACATCCGGGCCGCCACCACCACCAGTAGACTCGAAACCAGCGCTTGCGGGCTACATGCGGGCCACCATCACCATACGCAATTTCGGATTTTTTTGCGTGCGGTCCGCGAACGCGAACGCCGACTCGGGCTACGATGCGTGCGCAGTGGCAGCGACTGCACCGCAAGGGCTCGCGGTGCGCTGTTCTAAAACTCCCCTATTGCTTCTTGTTTACGTTTTGCACGTGGTAACCTCATCAATGGCCAAGTTTTCTTTCGATGTGTTAGCAATCGGCCGACTCGCGCTACTGCCAACGATACTCGTGCGTACGTTCGTGACACACATGGCGAAGAACGATTCGGAGGTGCTTCATCTGGCTAAATAGCAAGACTAATGAAATAACATTTGACTGTTACATTATGCTCCGTACCCAGAACTTACCGTATCTGCAGAAGGAAACCACCCATCGTGGAAATTATCCGACTTGATTCGCGCTGTTCCTCTCTTACATTCACTGGATTAAGCACGAAGTACATAGCTGCAACTGCATTGTAGATTCACAATATGAACTATTATGAGGCTACGAATGGCATAGAGGTACTACGGTAGCGAGTATCGCTGCACGTTTGCTCATAATAAGCACAAAAGTTTCGCTCTTCCATCTCATCTTCGGGAAGAAATGCCGTGGCCTTTTAAAGTTGTATCCGACTATAGTCACCAGGCAAGTTTTCTGATTACAGAAATTTCACGGTACTTTCATCCTAGCTCTCTGCCGAAACCTTTTAATGTTTTAGCATATAGAATTTGCATGCTCGAACGCATATATGCGAAATGATTTCGCTGAGGCGTCGTTTGTTGCCACTGAATTACCTTTTCTCTCTAGTGGCAGGTCCATAACCACAGACACATACGTATCCATCCTCGGTTTCCTTGTCTTTTTCTTTTTTTATCGAGCATCTAGAGATTCTAATGTCCTTCCTCTTCGAGTAGCTCTCATCACCTATTGACCAAATTAGCCCGATATGTAACAACCAGTTTCATGTTTTAATTTTAGTAACATCTTTTTTGTGTATCATGTGCGCCACACTTAACGAGTGTAATATCCATGTCAGTGTCTTTAAGGAAAAAGCGACGGGATGTGACATGATGATGCGATAATCTCAATGTTCTCTTTTAGGCCCAACTAAATTCTGTTCCCTATCAAAACTGGTTAATACTATTTGGGATGCGCACGATTTGCCCCGCCGCGGTGGTCTAGTGGCTAAGGTACTCGGCTGCTGACCCGCAGGTCGCGGGTTCAAATCCCGGCTGCGGCGGCTGCATTTCCGATGGAGGCGGAAATGTCGTAGGCCCATGTGCTCAGATTTGGGTGCACGTTAAAGAACCCCAGGTGGTCAAAATTTCCGGAGCCCTCCACTACGGCGTCTCTCATAATCATATGGTGGTTTGGGACGTTAAACCCCACAAATCAATCAATCAATCAGGGATGCGCACGATCATGGTAGTCTAAAAACCGAAAAACTATGTGCTCACACTTCCTAATAATTAACTAAATAACTAATGGTTGAGTTATAGTACTCATTACTATTCTTAGATACCTGTAATATTAATGACTAGGTCATCACCTAGAAAGTTTTTTCGATGATATAAAACAATGTCTAAAAGCCAAAACTCAAAATTTGTGTAGAAAACGTAAAAAATTACCGTCTAAGCACTCCGTACAGATTTCTAACCACGAAGCTGAAACATGTGGCTTCATGTGGTTTAACGTCGTAGCCGAAGCCAAAGTGCGACTTGAGAAAGTCCCGCCGAAAGCGGGCGCCGGCCCCGGCAAACGCGTTCCCGCCATTACCCTGATGACGCTTTTCTGCTTGCAACGCCGGTTCCTCGGCTCGCCGTTCTCGCTTGCATGCGGCTCGGAAGGCTGCCGGATCCATTATGCACAGTTACGGCATGAGGTTTGCCACCCGGGCCTGTTTCTTTTTTTTTTGCCCGCATTGCTGTATCAGCCCCACTAACCTATTATTCTCTCATGGATCAACTGTGAGCGCCGTTCTCGGAAAGTCATGAGATGAGCGGGTCTTCGTACGATCCGTGCTCTCCTCATGTGGAATTTGTAACTCCAAACTGCTGCGCGTGGGCTCGGCGGCACGGCTGCGAATGGATTAATGACGTCACTAACAGCGCTTCCAATGACGCGTGCACTTAGGTACGATATAGAGAACTATGTAACTGGCGGTGCAGTTAGTTGATACCGTTATCGCTTCTCGTGGCAAACATTTTTTTTCGTTTCGCCCAGCTACATAAAGCTTTCGCTGTAAAAATATAATGGAATATTAAAAAAAAACGCTTGCACTAAGCCTTTAAAGGCTGGGCCACAGCAGAGTAGGTGGGCACCTAGCTCGTCATGACTTTGCCGGGATTTCGATCCCTTTAGCCCTTGCTACAATACATGGCTATGCCTGCTTTCCTAATAACCAATTTTTAGTCAGCT